TGCTGATTTATTTATGGTATTTTTTTTTGCCAAATTGTTTATTTTTTGCCGAATGTTACATGAGTGGTAGTATTTTTTGCTAAATGTTACACAAGTGGCAGTATACTAAATAATTTTTTTTCGACTAATGTATTTAGAAAAAAAAATCCAATATATATTTAATAAAGATTTATTCAAAATACAAAATTTTTGTAAAAAGAATTAAATATTTATTCATATATTTAATAATTGATTTTAATAGAATTAAGATTTAAAAGATGCAAATAAAAGATTAATCTAATATTTAGTTAAATAAAAAAAGATTACAATAAATAATCAAAAAGTTATTTAAAGAAAAGTTTATAAATAATTCATGAAAATACAGTATAATAATTAGATTAAGATTTATATAAATAAATTTATTGTTATCTATACAAAGATAAAGATAAAAAAATTCAAGAATATTATATGAATTAATACAAAATAAAATTGTTTATTATAAAAAGAATAATTAAGAAACTTTATTAATAAATATAAAAAAGTTTTTAAAAAAAAATTCAAAATAATTATTGTATTGATATATTGTAATTAAATAAAAAAAAACTATAGATAAAATACAAAAAGATAAAAAATATAAGGTTTTAAAAAATAAGATTGACAATATTATAATAAATTTTGAAAAAAAATATTTCAATATTTAAAAAAAAACAAAACAAAAGATATATACTTCAAAAATATCATTTACTTGAAAAATTTCATTAAAAGATAAATAATGTAAAGAAAAAAATAATCAAATTTTTAATTTATTAAATAAAATATTTATAATAATAATCTATAAACATTGAATTTATAATTAAAAAAAAATCCAAATTATAAAAGAAGCAAAATATTATTTTCTAAGTTATATCTAGAAAAAAAATTTTAATGACAAGTGAGTTAATATGTAAAGTTATTTAAATTGTAATTATTTCTATTAATTTATAATAAAAACAAATTATATTAGTTTGATAACAGATTAAATAAATAAATAAATAAAAGATAAATAAAAATAAAAAATAAATTCAATTAAAAATATATATATATTATTTTATTAAATTATTATTTAAAGATTTGAAAATATTATTGTTCATACCATAAATCTATATATGGTATCTAAATATTATAATTATTTAAGATTTTTAAAATAAAATTTTTATATATTTATAATATAAACAGTAATTTTAATATTTTATTGAATTTTAAAAAGTTTTTATGTAATTATAGTGTATTAACAACATTTGATTTAAAAACTATTATAATCAATTGTTAATATATTTTAATAAAAAGATTTTCCATTTATTTAAATGAATAACTTTTATTTTATACCATATACAGTAGATAAATTATAAAAAGAATAAATAATTCGACTTACAGTATATAAATCGAATTCGAATATATTGCAATATTTTCTATTGTATTTATTGTATTATTTATTACTTTTGTATTTTGGAATTTTCGAAGTACGAAAAAAAAGAAAAAGATCAAGTCCATTGTGCATTTACGCGGGATTGTCATTGTTGCCACCCTTTTTGGATGTCCAGATAAGATTTTGTTACTGATTGATTAAACTACATTACTACATTTGTTCTCTTTCTGTCTTATTGCACGTACACCAATAAATATTTAATCACTTTCACATGTTTCACAGTGATCTTGGCATGATTTCGATAACTTTATACGAGATTGCAGCCGGTACGCCAACTCAACCATTCTCTCGTCACCTGGAGAAGCAAAAGCATCACCGGACAAAGATTCTGCACATATAGATGATGCTATTCAGAGAAATCTAGTGTCGCAACGACTGTTACCAAGCATTTTGAAATTGACATTGTTCAATGAAAAAATCTTTCTCGCGATATTAATAACATGCACGCACGCGCATCTAAAAGATTTTTTTTTTTTTTTTCGAAAGGAAGTTTTAGATGTGTTTCAAATTCTATGACGTACATAACATCGCGTGTTTGGATTGTAAGTACGTAGATCTGCAGGAAAAAATCACGTGAAAACGGTCGAATCTCATCTTTGAAAAAGAAAAACAAAGAAATTCATTTCGAATGCCTCCCGATACTCAAGGTTAAACTACGTAAGGTTGCCGTTTAACTGTAAACCAACACTATGAGCCGTTTCCAAAAATACTTTCATATTTTCGGGATCAACCGTGGGTAGGATACCATGTCCAAGGTTCACGATGTATCTTTCGTTTGTTCCAAATGCTTCCAACATTCTTCTCACTGTTGCCCTAATTGTATCATGATCGGCGTATAGCACATTGGGATCCATATTTCCTTGAAGTGTCACTCTACCCTTAGTGACCGTCTTTGCGTAAACAGGGTCAACGGTCCAATCCAATGAGACCGTATCGTATCCGATCTTCGATAGGGATTCCAGTGCATACCAAGATCCTTTACTAAATATTGTCATTGGAACCGGAGCTATGCCATCGAGCTGTAATTGCGTTTTGACACGCTTGGCAATTTGGGAAAGATATGGCAACGAGAAAATTTCGAAATCGTGAGGAGATAATTCTCCACCCCATGATTCAAATACTTGAACCATCTAGAACAATGGATCATGTTTGAATGATTGATTCTTCGGGAATAACGAAACTTCAACTGATCGATCTCCTTTACCTGCGCACCAGCTTTAATCTGTCCGACCAAAAAATCTACTGCCGCATCAGTAATCTTTTGCAGCAACCTCTTTGACCCTTCAGGATGCTTATACAACCAAGTCTTGGCCTTTGAAAAAGTTTTGCTACCCCCTCCTTCAACCATATAAGACATCAAGGTCCAGGGTCCCCCGACGAATCCTAACAAAGGAACGCGACCGTTTAAAGCTTTTCGTGTCATGGTAATCGCTTCAAAAACGTAGCCTAATTCCTGGTTGACGTCAATACTCTCTCGTAATTTTAGATCGATATCCTCGGGAACTACCAAAGGGTCCGGCAATTCCATTCCCTTTCCGGGTATCCATTCCACCACTAGACCTAAAGCTTGTGGTATCACGAGGATATCGGAAAAAATTATAGCGGCGTCGAGCAATCCGTCATATCGATCGATTGGTTGGAGCGTGACTAACGTTGCGAGTTCTGGCGTACGGCAGATTTTAAAAAATTCATGTTTTTCTCGTATTTCGCGAAATTCTTTACCAAGTAATTAATCATCCATCAATGTTGTGCGAAAGTGAATTGTCAGTTGAATAAGGTATATGAAATTCACGTTTACCAGGCAAATACCTTCCGGCTTGTCTCATGACCCATACTGGCGCACGCTCTGTCTTTTCGCCTAATAAATAAATGATTACTTAATTACTTAATTAAAATTCTCTCATTGTTCCTTTTTTTTTTTAAAAATTACATGTATAAATGAAAATAATGAGGATGGAAATTTACCAAGTGCAGCCCGAATAATCAGATCATTCTTGAGCGGAGGAAAGTCGGTCATCTTCTATTGCTGCAAAAAAATTTTTCGAAAGATATCAAAAAGATGAGATCTGAATCTGAATCATCATAATTTATATGGTGCCGATTGATTCTGAAACAAATACTGTATCTAAAGATCGAGAATTTTTTTTACCAACGGCACGATGAATCCCATACACGCATGATCAAAACCACCTGACAGTAAATATATGTATGCACAATGTCACACCAATCCTGTTTAAATAACGGTATCAATATTCCCCCCCTCCCAAAGCATCATCCCTGCAGAGGAGATATTTCTCATCACACGAAACATGATTCTTTCCAATCTGGGGAATCCCGTGATCATCGGTTTAAGAATACAATTTATTTAACTAGTAGTTATTGCCGAACAAGGAACGAAACATCAGCCTCGGCAAATCTTCGCCCAGCACGGCATGAATTAGGGTTTGTTTTCTTGTCATTTCAAAGACGTATTTGTACATCTAATCTCGATAAAGGCGGTCAACGCCTAGCCTCAACCACCACACGTTGCCAATATAGGTTAATACGCCCTTGTTACGAAAAACTGGCTGGTGTGAGAACAAGGAATTTATCCAGAACACAAAAGAAACAACTTTATTTTGTTGGTGTGGTAACGACGTACCGAAGTGACTTAGTTTTCCAAACGCTGTGCAACATTCGAACGAACCCTTATCCGATGCGTTTGCAGTTTTAATAATTTATTGATTGATTAGCATACACCATTCTTCTTTATCAGATACTAACACAACAATCCCGTCCCGCCCATGCACAATTGATTTACCAATGTCAGACTGCTTTCGCTTGCAGTTGATAGATGAGTGAAGGATGATGCTTATTTCTAAATTAATGGACGCGCATGAATGCAATAAAGGAGCCATGTTCGACATTTCTGTAAAGGCGAATTCATTTCCATTTCGTAATTCTTCATTCACCCGGAAGAACCCAAATTCCCAAAGAATTCGACTCAACAGAAAAAATACGCACGCACGAACACAACCTGTACCATAATTAGAACGCGTGGCATAGGTGCAAAAGATCATGAGACCTAATGTTTGTCATGAAAAAAAATTAAATAAAATCTTAAAATGTTAACCCGATATGCGCACTCTTATTTATTTGTGCATGCTATGTGGATAATATTCTATTTTCTTAATATCCGTGCTTTGTGTTTCGTATTACATTGGACAATAAATTTTGGCGTGCAATATGACTGTACCCGAAGAGGCGCTGATGGATATCCTTTTCACCTACAATACAGTAAAGAATAATTTTAACAGATGTATAATGACATAAGATACAGTATTTTCATCTCATGAAAATAATTTATTCATGATTACCACAGTTGTTTATCTCACTCGCGGACTTATTGTTGCTCTCCGCTCATTTACTGTATCTTTGCAAAAAGTTAAAACCGGACACAATCTTTTGTTCCAAGTGGGAATTTCTTATATCGACTCTTCCTCTTTTATGCTCGTTAATGGTGTGTTCAATGGTGACACTATCTATCAACTTTATTTCCCTTGTCAAACATTTCCCTTGCTAAACGATATTCGTTATTAAAAAGTCGTTGTACTACGGTGCATCACAAATTTTTGCATTTATTGTAGTTGGAATAGATAAATAGTTGGTCAATGAAGATAAAGGTCACTCGGCACTATCTTCAAAGACCAAAAAAATTTTACCTTTCAACTTGTCTGAACCGTTTTTCCTTCTTTGTTGTCTTTCAACAGCACGCACGAGTTATTAAATTTTCTTCTTCTGACACTTCATTAAAGACACACCTTCCTTCGTTTTTGTTTATAAAACATAATCATGTTATCGGTCGACAAAGCAACTGGTCCTTACTCTCAGTATGAAGTCGACCAGTCGGAAAAGCAATCGGTCTCTTCAGGTTCTTCCTCGTCAGTATCCTTTTCTAATACCGCGGTATCCGAGAAAATGAATGACGAGGAAAAACGAAAACGTCCTAAGCGTAACAGTTTTCGTCGTATATTTGGTCAAAATGGAAAGGAAGAAAAGGAGGAGAAAAAAGTTAAGGAAAGGAAAGCTCGCACTTTATCTATATTCAGTAAGAGTGATAAGCGTGAGAAACGCGAGAACGAGAGACCACGCCTTACTCCTAGCAAAAGTGAACCGGTCGAAAAGCGAAAAAACCGTCGTAGCTACATCTTCTTTTCCGATGATGACGGGAGGGATGACGTAGTGCACGAGAAGAGAAACAACAGTAATGATACATCTTCCTTTTCTGATAACGAAAATGAGTCAGAAAAATCTAAGAATAAACCTAGTACAAATCGATTCAGTATTAATTTAGATAAAATTTTTGGCTCAGAAGATGATCACAAGAAGAGTCTTAACACTAACCATAGCAATCTTTCCGACTTATTCATTCCTGGAAACGAGACTCCGATTAAGAGTCACAATCGCTATAGACTGAATAATGCCAATAGTTTAGTCGAATCCCCCACGGGTGAACCAAGACCCGTCTCCATGGTGACCATAAGCTCAGATAATACCGACGATACTGACCTGAAGAAGAATGATCATTATCCAGTCGATGATAATTTAATCACGAATGATGATTCAAATCGCCATGAATACACCGTGACTTCTAATGAGTATGAAAATGACCAAAGTACCCAATCAAACATTGATCTCTCGGTTCACCAGGATCACACCGAAGTTATCAACGGCGACCAGAATAGTGTTGAGATTGTTAACGGCATTCATAAAGAGCATGAGATATTCAATGATGGTGGCAATCAAGATTACGAGGAGACCTTTAACGAGGAAATAAATGGAGGCGGAAGTGGCGATGGAATTATGAGGGATGAACAAGATCACCAGAAAGATGCCGAAGAAGGCGAGAACCATCAAAATAATACCGAGATCACCACAAACCTTCAAAATGATGTCGAGATCATCGTTGACCATCAGATTGATACGGGGGCTACCAATTATTACAGTGGTTACGTTAAGGCCACCGAAGGCAACACACACCAAGGTTATATCGACCATCAAATTAGTATTAAAGTCACCCACGAAGATGCCGAATCCGATGGAGAAAACAACGAGGATGATCGCGTTCAGAAAACTCGAGATGGCACTGATGAAATTCCTGTCAATGATAGTCATTCCGCCTCATCGAATTATCACAACGAACATAAATACTCAACCCCTTCACCGTCCACTTCCTCTTCTCCAATTCCCCTGGACATCGACAAATCCAAGATCATTAACCCCGAATCCGAGGTTGAAGACGAATGCCGGGATGAAGAGGAAGAAGTTGTGAAAAGAAATGGATTCCGTGAGGTGGAAAAAATTGTGGAGAGATATCCGCTTCCAAAAATTATTGAGAAACGTGTTATAGTCACCCAAGAGAATCCGCAAACTCGTCAACAGGTAACATCATTACCTATTAAAGCAGTAATGTATTTTCCCCCTACACTTAATTGATCATTTCCGAATTCATCTAGCTCGAACAACTTCAGGCTACAAATGACAACTTAGTCTCGGTTAAAAATCAACTTGAGTTGAAAATTGAGGAACAATCCCAGCAAATCGCCAAACTTTCTTCTTTGGAGTCGGTTATGGTACGTCAGGTTCAGCTCGTTGAAAGAATGGAGGAGACCATAAGAAGGTTGGAAACCAAGGTTCAAGATCAACAAGAAGAATTAGATGGCAGAATCTCTGGACAAATAGGAGATACCGTACGTCATCTAGAATACAGGTTGAATGAGAAAAGCAAAGAATTAGACAATTTGAGGACGGTGGTGATGGATCAGTTGTGCGTAAGCTTATTTGCAAGTTAAATTTGTCGTTTAGTGAATAAAAAGTGCTCGATTTTAGGCCTAAACTATCTTCTCTTTTCTCTCCCTTACAGGCAACCGCAAACACCGCCGTTGTATTTAAGCCCAGTGCAGGTATATTATTTCTAAATTTGCACCCGATGATTATAATCAGTCCTTTACTGATCTTGTTTATTATTCGTGTTAAAGGTGGTAAATATCAGTGGTTTGTTGCCAGCTTCGGAAAAACCGTCGATGGATATGACAATGACGAGGCAAGAGCCTCGAGATATATATTCGAAGAACACCCTTGTAAATACATTGGTGGTTAAACCGTTGGTTAACACCCTTGTGGTATCAGCCGGCATTGCCACGTCAGTCTTGTATGCTGTCTACGTTCGACCTGTCGTCGGCCTCATCAAGGTCGTGAGAACTGGAATGTAAAGGTGACGAAATATTAGGGTGATGTTATCACATTCTATTGTTCGGTAAACGATGTGATAATATCGACCGAATCTGTTGATTGAAAAATATGATTACTCTGATAACCGAATTATTCGACACCTCCGAAGGAATCCCATTCTTCACTCGGAACATGATGACAGTTGTCCTCGAGCACCTCAAGCATTTCAGAAGATGTGATAGAATTATCGCAACAAAAAAAAAAGAACATTCACTATTTCATTAATACATGTTGACGAATCAAAAAAAAAAAAAAAAAAATTAATAATAATAATCATTCAACTTCACTTGTCAATTATTTATTCTTTTATTTTTTCTTGGTAATCTAAGCGGACAATCGTGTAATTTTACAACCTTGCATAGCTTTTTTTTTCTATTTGTTTGTGTTAGTGGTTTGTTGAATGTAATTAATTATGATGTAAGATATGGATGTTTTTAATTTTTTTTTTTTTTTTAAATAAAAATTGTACATAATTTGTACTGAGTGTTCAGAAGATAAATAATATATGTGTTTATTGTAAACGTAATTTTTTTCAAGATATTTTATTAAACAAATATTAAGAATTTTCGAGACGTCATTTATGTCATTTGAAATATAACCAGAAGATGCATTCATTGAAATTTCCTGCCTGACCAAAATAACTGAGGTGCACCAATCAAGGTTTGAATTCAAATATCCTTTTTATTATGGCATTTTTCTAGTGATTAATATGGTAGTGATAATTATCTCGCAAAATAATAGAATTTTTAGATGGTTATTCTTTAATATCAAAGTTTCTATTAAATAAATTACTTGCTTTATAGTATAAAAAGAAATGTTTATTATTACTATATTACAAAATCATGTACAATATATATATTGTTGTGTATTTATTTTTTTTATTTTTTAATTCACAATCATGTTATCAATAATATACAATATATTATTCAAGATCTAATTTTGAAAAATTTCCTGTTCACAATTCTTGAATTTGTACAAGTGATTTCAATACCTTATAATCAAATTTTTTGATATTTTCTTGTTTTTTGATTTGTAGAGATTGTTGCTTGCTTTGAATTGAACAATCTTTGATTATGTGTTCAATACTAGAGCAAAAATTATATGCTTTGATGTTTGAATCTATTTATATGAATTTGGTATTTCTGAGTTTTATAGGAAAGGTCTTGACAACCTTCAGAAGTTTATCTGTTTTGAAGCTAAGAATAGCAAATCTTTTTCATTGATATTGAGAGATTCTTGAAATATAGTATATTTAGTTTTAATTTAATCAATTATTTTTTTAAGATCGAAGTCTTTAGTACTTGAGAAAAGATTAGTTAGTTTGATTGTATATCTGTTTCTTTTTGTTTTAATTTGGTGAGTATTGAGGAAGAAATAGATGTAAATGAGATCTCCTTTGAAAGAAATTATCTATTTGACTTGAATTTTCTCATAATCTTTTTGATATTTCACTATAGCTGTTTGTCACATATTAATTATTTATATTTTGAGAAATTGAATTTTTCAAAATTTGATGAAAGCTGTGTGTATCTCATTGTGTATAATGTTAAGTGGAATATTCTATATTCAGATACTTTTATTTTTGACTATAATATTGTTATATATAGGTGTTACTATCATATAAATAATGATATTATTATTAATAGTAAGATATTTAACTTTATTTGTATTTTTTTAATCTTCAAATAAAGCAGTGATCTGTTTTGCATTTTGTGAGTTATCAATCTTGATATATAAAAAGAATTAGAATTTGACAAGATGTCTCATCAAATTTTGGATTTTGTTTATAATTGTCTTTACTAAAGTCTTTTCAATAAAAACTATTTATTTAAATCTTTTTTTTTCATATTCAACTTTTTAGTCAGTTAGGAGTGATCTTACAATAGGCTATCTGTTATCTATTTTATTTTTTCCTTTATCATAATATTGAGTTTGATATTCTGCTTCTTTATATCTATCAATTTTAGAGTTTGTTTCAAAGTGAAAATTTCTAAAAATAGAAGAAGTGCAGTTTTGATTATTTGTGTCTTTATATTCAATATTAAAGATTCTATTTAAGATCAAATTAGAATCTATTTTTTTTATTGAAATATATATGATATTATTAATTATAGCTAAAAAGATATCTTCTACTTCTTCTTCCTCTATTCTTTAGATTTTCATTACAAAGTTTTGCTAGTTTTGAATATGATTTCTTATATTACTTGAAATAGTGTTTATGTTATATTGTTATTGTTGAATTATTCTATATTATACATGAGTTTTGGATAGTATAGTGACCTGAAAAACTCTTTACAAAGCCAAAGAAATATGGAGAAAAAAATTGTTTAAAAGAAAATTTTCTAAAAAAAAAAAAGATCTATAAGAAAGAATTTTTTTTAAAAAAAATTTAACTAATTAAAAGTATCCAGTTATTTATTAAATAAGGATCTAAGAACTATTGAAAATTGGAATAAATTAATAAATATAATTAAGAAAACAAAGATTTATTTATTTTAAAAAATATACTAATTTGAAAAATTATATTATAAAAAGAAATAAATATATATAATTATAGTTAATATTTTAAAAAAATATTTTTAATAAAATATTTTATATTAAATAATCATTTATAGTTTAAAAATTGATTAAAATATTTAAAATAATAGTTAAAATCAATTTAAGTTTTTTTTTTTTTAATACTGACTTAACTTTATTTTTATTTATTTCTTTTAAAAGGTACTCCCTTGTGGCTTATTGCCATTCCTTTTATAGGAGCTAACCTGCCAAGACTAAACTAGTGTTAAAATAAATTTTGAGGATATAGAAATTATCTATAATATTTATTATTCATTGATTTATAAATTTATTGTCACGATTTTTATTAGTAATATACTTGTACACTTCATATAAAACATTTGCCTTGACTCAAATGCTTACATTACTCTTTGTATATAAATGCTAACATATATATTAACAAGTACTTATATATCTACCTATATTAATAATCTATATATATAAGTAAATATCTATATATTTACTAACTATATATAAGCACTACCTTATTATTTAAAAATTAATAACCTAAATAATATATAATTAATAAATAGGAACAATAGAATAGAATATATTATAATAAAAATTCAAACATAATAGTATTTTTATAAAAAAAATAAAAAATATTCTTAAGCAATAAATATAAACACAAACTAGTAGAAAAAAAGGAAGAAATATATAAAAAGATAATAAAAATAGGCATATATAATATTAAAAACATTATAGATAAAATAAATTAATAAAGTCTTATCAAAGAAATTCTAGAACAAGAAATAAATATACTAGAATTGTATAAAACAAAACTAATCTAGATTAATATAAAATAGACTTTCAATAATTAGAATACTTATAAATACTTTTATAGTATTAATAAAAATAGATTTTTTGAAATAAAAATCAAATTTTTAATTAAAAAAAATTTAAGAAAAAAATAGCATCAAAGAAAAAAAAAAGATATATTATTATTGGCAATGGATTTATAAAAAAAATCTATATTATATCGATCTATATTCTATTAAATAAACAAAGATATAGAAAAGTATAGAAAAAAACAATCAGCCTTATAAAAAAAAATAGATAAAACTATTAAACAATAATTATAAAAGATTTTAATATGGTATATAATCTATTAAAAGATAAAAAAATATCTTCAAAAGTAAAGTTCAAATCATAATAGTATTAAGAAATTCCTTATTTAACTTTTTTGATAAATAGGTTTTTATAGATATACTGTATAAGTTATATAAAATGCAAAAAAAAATTTTTAACAAGATAAGATTTAATAAGTAATAACAAAATAAATTATATCTTAATATTATATAATTTAATAAATTATCTATTATTTCAATTTGATAATTAAAATATAAAAGATATTACTGGAAGTAATTATATTATACTTTTAATAACTTTATATAACAAAGATCTTTTCACAAAAAGTAGAATTATTAAACCTATTCTAGAAATATAAAAATAAATTAATATAAAAGATATATTTTTAATACAATAATAAGTCTTTATAAAAGTTTGAATTATGAGTTTAAATATTACTAAAACCTTTTGTTTCAAGAAGGACTCAATAAATATGAAAAGAAAAACTAGGTAAACAGATTGTAAAAAATCTTTAAAAACTATTATATAAAGCTATTTTTAATAAACTTGTAACAAAAAAAATAATTTTAACCAAAAAAAAAAATTATAAACACAATCTTGAATTTATCAATTATAGAAAAGTTCTATAATTAAAAAAACTTTTTAAAAGAATAAAAATATTAAAAAAAATAGGCAAGCTATACGAATTCAGCTAGGCTATATAAAATTATAATAGTATTTAAAATTCAAATTATTATAATAAAAACTATTGTTTTTTTTTTTTTTTTTTTTTTTTCTTTTACTTCTCACCCCTCCCTCCCCT